GTAAAAAAAGAAAAAGAAAAAATAAACATACATAAATATAGATAATGATAGATAGTTTGCATGTAAATAAATAGCTTTATTATAAGAATTTATCCTTACTGTAGCTGAATAGGCAGGTAAAATATTGTTCTGAGAGATGTCTGTGATTTTACTGCTTATGTTTTCTTCTAGGATTTTTATGGTTTCACAACTTACATTTGTCTTTTATCCATTTTTAGTTTATTCTTGTGTATGGTGTAAGTTGGTGGTCTAGTTGCATTCTTTTGCATGTTACTGTCCAATTTTCCCAACACCATTTACTGAAGAGACCGTTTTTACTCCAGTGTATGCTCTTGCTTCCTTTGTCAAATATTAATTAGCCATAAAGTTGTGGGTTGATTCCTGAGCTCTCTTTTCTCTTCCATTGGTCTATATGTCTGTACTTGTACCTGTACCAGGCTGATTTGATTACAATGGCTTTGTAGTATCATTTAATATTCAGTATTGTGATCTCTCCAACTTTGTTCTTCTTTCTGAGGCTATTTGGGATCTTTTTTGGTTCTATATAAATGTTTGGAGTATTTGTTCTAGATCTGTGAAATATTTCATTGGTATTTTAATAGGGATTACATTGAATCTATAGATTGCCTGGGTACTGTGTACATTTCAATGATGTTAATTCTTCCGATCCATAAACATGTCATATGCTTCCACTTGTTTGTATCTTCCTATATTTTTCTTTTTCTTTTCAGTGACCTATAGTTTTCCAAGTATAGGTCTTTTAGCTCTTTGGTTAAGTTCATTCTTAGGTAGCCCCCCCCCCCCCCAGTGGTAAATGGGATTGTTCTCTTGGTTTCTCTTTCTGAGAGTTCATTATTGGTGTATAAAAATACCACTGATTTCTCTTATTAAGCCTAGTAGTTTTTTGGTGGATTCTTTAGGGTTTTCTATATACAATATCATATCATCTTCAAATAATGACAGTTTTACTTCCTCATTTCCAACTTGGATGCCTTTTATTTCTTCGTGTCTGCTCACTGTGGCTAGCAGTTCTAGCACTATGTTGAATAAGAGTGGTGAAAACGGACACCCTTGTCTTGTTCATCCTTAATGCACTTGGCTCTTTTAGTAACCTTTCCTCCATAATGTTGTCCTAGTGAGATATGGGTGAATTTAAATTAAGCAATATACATTTTGAGAAATCTGTTTTTATTATTTTAATAGTAAAAATATATGTACAAATATATATATAACATGATAAAATATGAAAACATGTACTAATGGCAAGTGCATGAGGCTTTGGGTTTGAATATACTTTATTTGAATTTAACTTCTGCCATTTGCTTTTGTGAACTTGGAAAATGCATTCATACTTTCTAAATCTTAGGAATAATGACATAACTTTGAAGGAAAACTAGCCTTAAATGAATGAGATAACCTTTGATCTAGTATCCATGAGAAACTTAATAACAATTTTGCCCTTCCTATAGAAAATAGAAAATTTAATAAAAACTTATTACCAAATGGATTATGTATATATTAACATAATAAAACTTAGAGAGAGAAAGCAATATCTTTCTTCATGGGCTGAGTTTAATTTAATAAGTTTCTATTACACTTTAGAATTTCTGTCCAATGAATTAATAATTTCACAAGAAATTATACTTTTTCTTGATGACTTATAATTCAAGTTTGTAATAGATATTAAATATTATGCCAGAAAATTTAAAGAAAGGAAACATCAAAATGGGAATCAAAAGTTTGCCTTGTCAAGGAAGAAATTTGTGCTTTTGTGAATATTCTTATATAGCCAGTAACATTTAAAAAAATAAAGCACTTATCTAGTGAATACCACATTAGCACTATGTTTTCTCCATTGAAATAAGCATTTGAGTGAACTGACTGAATCAAAGTATATATTTCTTTTATGTGGTATAGACTATTCTTTCTACAATTCAGAGGTAGCACTTCTCCATTCATGGAAGGAAGACTTCATCAGAAAGTGCAAAAACAATAAATGGTGTAGAGTTCAAGAGCTTATATCCCCATTTTCCAAGGAAAACAAGATGCTGCAAAAACTGACATTTAATTGGGAGCCTCCAGCAGAGAGACAAAAATTTCATTCTAGGAAAAGACCAGCAAAGTCAAATAAGCACTTTTATAAGAAAAACAAATACTGCCTTTCCATCACAAATGTAACTAATAAGAGAAAGTGATATTAAAGACTGGTTACTCTCAAAACTGTATTTAGCAATTGTGTAATTTCTGTTAAAGAGAAATATAGTTGTGTTGTGAGATTATTTCTTTTTCCAGGAGTCTGCTGTAGAATAAAAGGTTTTCACAATTGTCTTGTTTCTTCACAAAGAAACATATAAAGAAGTAAAACAAATGTTAACGATAGCATAAAAACTGGGAGAGACAAAGAGAAATACATTATTTTCAGGTCTTTAAATGATACCACATAAAGTACTATGCGAGAATGTTTAAGTAATCTGTATTTCTTTTTTTAATTTATCTTTATTGTTGAAAGTATTACACATGTCCCCTTTTTAAAAATCTAAATATATAAAACAGTTGCATGTCTATATACTAGTAATTAAAAATCAGAAATTTAGATCAAAATATCATTAAAATAGCATCAAGTATAGAAAAGCACTTTTGGAATATCAGAGTGAGTATTTCTGAAAATCTGCTCTTTAATAACAGCAATGATAGCAGTGGCAAAATGTGTTAAAATCAAGTTTTTCAGAGCTCTAGAAATTAATCAACTCCTTGCAAAAATGCATAGGCCATTTAGTTACTCAAGAGAAAGGGCTGGATTTCATGAAGAACCTTCCTATCTTCTTTGGAAATGCTAAGGAGGAAGCAGGGAATGTTAGGATATTTTGTTATCCCACTAAGGATCTTGGGATTGCCAAATAAATAACAGGACCATTGACAAAAATGAGTGGAACAGTGCCATTAAATAGTACATTAAGTAAATAATGCATAATGAAAAGACATTCCAAAGGTAATTTATGACTATAGATTTATCTTTTATAGGGTATAACTACACAAGTTCAAATATGAGATTTTTTTGTAAGGCTAAGTTATATTAACATAGATGCCAAGACAATTGCTTAAATTTTTTAAATTAGTCAGACCAATTATTTTGTCTATATAAAGCTATGACTTGTATTTGTGGCCATAATTGTTTAAGATATTCAAATATCAATTTATTAATTTATTTGTATTAACTACATATATAACTTTTGTTCTCAAGTAAGATCATTAAATATTTACTGAAAAATAATATCTCTTATAGAATAGGTAGATGTGTAACTGATAATGGTTTTACCATGTTTAAAATTTTATTTTTATCATATTATTAGTCTAGCTTAGAAGCTAAAAATTAAGCCTAATTATCAGATATCATAAGAAGCAGCCTGATTTGTAGACTATAAACCTAACCATTGTCATTATTTTTATTTTAAAATAACTTGTGACAGGTTTGTAATTCAGGTCAATTATTTGAATTTCTGAAGGACATAAGCAGAACAGAATCTTGATTATTTTGTTCTCTGAAGTTCTTAATGCTAAAATCTAAAAAGCTGAAGGGTGGTCTGAATATATTGAATTTGTAACACATTACACTCTAGTAGATACAAACTTGAAATTTAAACACAACTTGACATTTCTAAACTTTATTAAATTTACTATCAGTCAGAACATCCTTTAGAACAGAACATTTTCAATGAGGCTATGGCAAACTATTTTGGTTTGACATTTAGGACTCGATTACTTTGGAAGGACATTTGCCCATAGAAGTTGACTGAATTATTTATATTCTGTACTCAAAGATATCATAGCTTAAAAAAATGAATTCCATTACCACTCCTTGTTGTTTATTAGATGTTTTTCATCATCAAACTTAAATTTGTGAAACAATAACTTCCTTTGAGATTACTTTTCCTCTAAGAATGTAGCAAATACTAATTTGGAAATTAAATCAGTGACATCACAAGAACTCTCTTTTAGTGACTACTAAGATATAGATACCAGTCAAGCAAACTTAGTAAAACAACTAGCCACCTGGTTTCATGTGCTTTATCAACAATTAGGCTGGTCAAGCTGTTAATTCCATGTCTATATAAAGCTATGACTTGTATTTGTGGACATAATTGTTTAAGATATTCAAATATCATAATTGTTTAAGATATTCAAATATCTAATAAAAGCAAGGATTAGAGAGCTAAAACACTAAATGCCTAGGGGATATGTGGCTAGGAACTTCTTTCTTTATGTCAGATCTTTTGAATAAGTTACTGGCATTCCCAGCACAATAACATTTTAATTTCAGTTTTCTTTTAAAACAGGGAAATTTTTTTTATGGTGAGTCTTCAAAAATAAATAACACTATCACATAAACTAAGTTTTATGAAGAAACATAGTTGATGTTCAAACTGAAAAATAAACCAAAATAGACATTTTTCTTTTCCTGTAATGTATGTCCCATGCTGTTTTCCCCAAACTCCCAATGCTGTCTAACCCACCACTGTTAGAACGATCTTCTATCCTTGAACCTCTCTTAGAAAACACTCTACACTGGCTCCTTGGGGTCTGGAAAATCAGATTTGTCCACTCCTTTACATTTCTACCTCCATGGTAATACTTTTATTACTTGGTAATATTTTTTTTTACTCTTTACATTATTGCTTATGAAAGGAAAATTTTATTTCTTATCAAGAAAATTATCTTTTCATAACCCTTTCATATTCGATATCAGGTATTTTTAACCCTTTCTTGTGTTATGGACCCTTTTGGCAGCCTGGGAAGCTTATATCTTACCCAAGAATAATTTTTTAATCTTGATTATTTTTTTAGAGCAGTTTTAAATTCACAGCAAAATTAAGAAAAAGGTATGGAGATTTCCCATACACCCCCTGCCCCTGCCCTTGTAGAGACGACTCAGTTGTCAACATCCCCCACCAGCCTGGTACATTTGTTACCCTGATGAACCTACAGTGACACATCATACTCACCCAAAATCCACAGTTTACCTCGGGGTTCACTCTGGTGGTGTACGGTCTGTGGGTTTGGACACATGTATCATGACAGATGTCCATCCTTAGGGACTGTGAACTTCGCAAGTGTTTCTCACTTTTTTCCCTCTTAAGTGGGACAGTATGGCTAGAGTGGGCTGGAGCTGTGTGTTTTTCTCCTGTGTGAAAGGCTAGAGGGGCTGAAGTTGGTGTTTTTCGTCCCCGGGTCAGTTAGGCTCTGTTCATGCCCCGGGAGGCTGGGCCCTGGTTTACTAGTTCCCGCTGGGGACAGGCCTCGTTAAGATCAGAGCGCTCTGAGGCACATCCAAATGCTTGCTTTCTCCCTCCCGCTGCACGAAACAAGAAGGGATTTGTCTCCAACATTTACTGTAAGAACCTGGTCAAGTTCCTGGAGGTAAACTTCACAGTAACGTGGGACACCCCCCCTTATGACTGGGGCCCCTGGTGTTTTTAATTCCCAGAGTTGTGCCCCCTGAGCCTTCAGCAATTTTTCAATTACAGTTCAAGCTGCCCTGCCCGGCGCTGGCTCTCATGGAATTTCTGTCTGTGAATCTCTGCCCTGGGAAGCAAGCAATGACTCCTTTATTCCCTTGTTGTTGCTCCAATTTTGGAGGCAGAAATTTACGCTGTATTCTTTTCTCTCTTATGGATTCAAGAAGAGTTGTTGGTTTGTTTGCCTTTTCAGTCTGTTCCCCTTTGACTTGTTGTTAGGACAGAGTGGTGACATCTAAGCTCCTTCACATATGAAACCAGAAAATGATGTCCTAGGAAAAAAGTTTTTAAACACATAGAATAAAATATTTTGGGTTACAAAAGAAACAAATTACATTAACATCCTCTTGTTAAAACTGTAAAGAATACTTTTGTCATAGAGTAAATATGTTGTATGATAAATTACTAATAAATTATAAACATGGGGATAATTGTTATACTTTTAAAATAGCAATGAGAATAAACAATATTTTGTGATATCTATAATAACTAAAGTTCGATATGAAAATTCTGAGTCATTTCAATTGGTGACAAAGTCACTGGCATTGACAATACTTACTGTGATTGATACCTACATTCATAATGGGACCTGTGGACCCCAGGATAAGATATTGCTTTATATCATTTTCTTAGCTGGTCTAGGTATCTAGAACAACATTCTCCTTTTACCATCTAAATAATTTCTACTAAGAAAACTGAATTATGAAGCATTACAAGTTCCAGACTAGAATGAGAGTTTTTATTTTGAATAAATCTCTTTTTCAATAGTCGATTGGTCTTTAAATTTACTATAGGAACTTTAAAAAACAAATCAGAATCTCTTTATACCTTAAATTGGTTTTAATGAGCTTAATCCTATCTCGTGATTTTCTCCCTACAAGCAGTCATGTTGACATAGTAAATGCATTTTAAAAATTATTTTTATTTATATGTATAGTAGTAATGACATTCTGAAGCTTTAGTGTGTTTCATATTTGTCTTTCCTAGCATGGGCTTCTTGCTCCTGTCCTGATGAGGGAGACATATGCCTTGTCAGGGTGACAGTTTGGGGTAGGACTGGAATTTTTGTGGAAGGTATGCAAAAAAGTATATAAAGGTATCTTTAAAAATTTTAACAATCAAAATAATACTTTGCAGTAGAATAATACTTGTAAAGCTATTTTAAACAATTTTACTGAGATAAAATTTACATATCACAAAATTCAGTCATTTTAAAATGTACCATTTGGTGATGACTGTTCCATTTTAGAACATTTTTCTCACTCTCAAATGATCAGGCCTGCCCATTTGCAGTCACTCTTCACTTCTACCCCTAGCTCTAGGGAATGATTAATTTTTTTTTGTTCCTGTAGATTTCATATAAATGGAATCACACATGTGATCTTTTGTATCTAGCTTTTTTCACTTAGCATAACATTTTGGATGTTCCTTCACCTTGTAGCAGGTATCAGTACTTTGCCCCTCTCTGGTACTGAATAGCATCCCATGTTATAGACACACCTTTGAGTAACACTGCTATGAATATTTGTGCACAGATCTTTATGTGGATGTATCTTTTCTTTTCTCTTTGGTAGGTACTTAGGAGTAGAATTGTTCAGTCATATGGTGAATTTTTGTTTAACTTTTTAGAAAACTGTCAAACGATATTCCAAGATGGCTGCATCATTTTACATTCCCACTAGATATATAGGACAGTTTCAGTCTTGCTTGTAATTCATCAATGCTTATAATTGTATGGCTTTTTAATTCTAACCATTGTGTGTGTATAAAGTGATATCTCATTGTGGTTTTACTTTGCATTTGCATAATGCCGAATAACATTAGCATTTCTTAAATGGGTTTGTTGGCCATTTGTATATCTTCTTCAGTGAAATATCTATTTAAGTCTTTTGCCCAGATTTAAAATTGGGTTGTCTTTTATTATAGAGTTGAATGAGTTCTTTATGTATCCTAGGTAAAAATTTTTTTATCAGATATATTATTTGCAAATATTTTCTCCCATTCTATGGCTTAACTTTTTCTTCACTTTCCTAAGAGGTATTTTCTGAAGCACAAAAATTTAAATGTTGATCAAGTCTAATTTAGTGATTTTTTTTTATTACTTGTGCTTTTGATGTCGTATTTGAAAAAAAAAAATTGCCTAAATCAAGGTGAAGACAATTTATTCCTATGTTTTCTTATAGGAGTTTTATAGTTGTAATTCTTATATTAGATATAATTTTATTTTAGGTCATATATTAAGTCTAATTAGAACCTAATTATAAGGTCAATTTGAGTTCAGTATGAGGTATGGGTCTAGTCCAGTCTTTTTGTTTTGTTTTGTTTTGTTTTATATTTTTAATAAAGAGTTATTTAAATTCTTTTTTCCCCCTTTAATTTTTAAAAATTCAAGTGGTCTGGGGAAATGACATTATGTACAGAAATCCAGATGGAAGGATAAATGAAGAAACTGTTTTCTTTTTCAATTCCTAAGGAAAATGTGAGAAAGGAATAAAGAGGAAGGAGAGAAACAGTTTCCGAATGATGCCCTGGTTCTCCCTTCTCTGAGCCTTGCCTGAATTGCGGAGCACATTATATAAGCAAGAGCAACTGAGGACTGGAGCAGACCTATTTTACTCATAGTTCCTGTGTGGGCCTGTCCTGTGAGGGGCTTCTCCCCGGCTGCCCTGCACCAACAGACGTGCAGCTACATCGCAGTAAATCTGGTGGAAGAGCATAAGTTGAGCAGCCAGAGGGAGATAGTGAGGTTGAGTCTTCCCAAGTCATCTTGGTTTCCACAAGGTAGAGACACAGCACTGAGAAGGAGATTTTAAAAAGTGGTCTCCATATTTAGGACCAAATATATAAGGTAAGAGTAGAACAGTCTTACAGAATAGGATCCAGGAGATCGAGGTTCGATTCCCGGTCAGGGCACATGCCTGGGCTGCGGGCTCCATCCCTTATGACTCTTTCATCATCGATGTTTCTGCCTGTCTCTCTCTCCCTCTCCTTTCCTCTCTTTGAAATCAAGAAAGATATTAAAAAAAAAAAAAAAAGCTTTACTATCAAAAATTTTTTCTTCTTTTTGTTTTTTTCTCAAACACAAGAACCATATCTTAAAACAGATTCTTTATATAACTAACATTTTTTGAACCCTTTTTGTGTTAAGCACTGTGCTAAGTCCCTTGAGTGGAGTACTTTATTTAATCCTCACAATCATCTTATGAAATATAGTGTCTTATTTTGGATATTTCTTTCACATATATTTGAAATATAGATTTTTGTTCTCCGGAAGTATGGGTTGCATTTTAACTTAAACTGTTATTTATGTGTTTATTTTAGCTCTCATTGCTCCATATATATATATAAATTACCCTACTATTCCTTGAGGAAAGGGACTGGTTAACTTTCTTGTGTATCTCCATCAGTTGGTTCCAGCTGCCTCATGGTTTGATAAACAGACATAAATTTAACCTTGCTAAAAGCAAAAAAACATGTTTAAAGATTTTCAGGAGAAATGTATTTTGAAAAAAAAGATAGAAGGAGGTAATAGCAGTTTACAAATGGTAGAAAATAACTGAGTTGCATACCTACTTGGGGAAAAAGTTATCATTTTGCCTGTGGAAAGATGACATGATAGTTCAGTCTCAAACTTTCATTACCAAAGATGCCATTTTGGATGGTTTAAAATATGAATTGTCAAAAATTTAGTACCTGTATTTATTTACCTTACTGAAGTGCATTGAGCCAAATGAGTGTCATATGCATATTTCATATACAGACACATATGAGGATGAATCCACATGGTACCCAGTGAGGTGAGTGTTGGCAATTCTTTAGATAATTTCTATTTCAGTGATAGATGATTTTATGTCCTATATATTCTGGAGACTATTTGGCTTATAATATTATACAGATAGTTGCTTGAAATGCATAGTGCTCTTTTTATGCTATAGACTATATATGAATACTTTTCACGGGGAGAGATGAATGTCAGCAAATATACATGACTGGGGAACCATCCACATTGATAAAGGTGGCAATATTACATTTCCAAGAGTTTAGGCCTTAGAAACCTAATATAACGTTCATCTTTGTCATGTTAGATTTTTTTGGTGATACAATAGTTTCAGCTATTGCATTATAATAAGATTAAACACAGACTAGAATATTTTATGAATTATTTTACACATCTATAAAAGTGCATGAAAATATTAAGTGCAAAAATTGAGCAAAGAACTTGCATGTAGTAAAGTGGTACTAGTTCTCACATAACTAAAAAGTATATTCTAACTTGATAAAATCCTAGTTATACCGTGCTTTTTAGACATTACCTATTTATGATTTATTGATATACTTTCTGTATTATAAATGTCCTTCTTTCCTCCCTTCCTCTCATTCTTCATCCTTATAAGCTGTAGCATAAGGTTGCTGTAAATGTTAAGGATCTTGACCTCTACTCCCTGAGGTTTATATTCTGTCTCAGACAAGTTAAACCACCTAGACATGCCTCAGTTTTCCTCTGTAAAATGGAGAAAATAATACCATCTTATAAAATGGTACATTTTACTCCATGTAAAGTATTTAGAAGA